GTCTGTTGCTATATTCTCATCTCAGTCTGTTCTCCTTCTGGGATTTCTCTCATTGAGCTCAATTTCTCCCAACAGGAAGCAGAGTTGTGAACCATGACATTGATTTTCTGCACTGTTTTAGAATGAAGCCATTCAGTCTGTGTTGACTATTCTTCCAAATACTAAACAATTAGTCAGAGAAAGGAATGTTTAAGGCATTTTGTTAAGATTTCATGGCCCTGTAATCCCTATGAGGTTGTTTATGGCACATGCAGTTTTTGGTCAGCTTCATTGAGCCGATGCATTACATAAGCCACTGTTACATATTAGCAATACATAAAACATATACAACTTGAACAAGATGAGCATGAATAAATAAAGGAAACATTTGGAGAAATAAATGAAAGTTCCTCAAGTTAGTCAAAGTTAATGTACAAGAACAAGTGTGTAACAGAAAGATCATATGGAAAAATGCTAGAAGATACTTTCTATCAGTGAGTTCCAAAATAAGACAACATAATGTTCTGTAGAAACAGGACTGTTACAGTAAATCAGTTCAAATGTTCCTAAAGTCAATGTTAAAGCTATTAGTTTGATGCAGCCAATAGTATCAGTCAACACATAAATTATTTTAATTACTAAATTAATTTGATGATATTTTAATTATTACATTCCCCACCCCCAACCCTATAAGACATGTGCACAAAACTACACTCGCTGAGTCTCTGTAAACAAAAGCCATTCCCTTCACATCTACTTCCTGTTTACTTCTGTCTTACTTTCTCCAGCTTTACAGCTTCCTCTCTGTCTTCCTCTCTCTTTTTGTGTCTGTCTTTTTTTACCATCTATCATTTTGTATATTAAATCCATCCATCCATATTTTATCTGACTGAATCCAGGATCTCATTCCTTCAGTCGTGATCTGTGTCTCATGACTACAGCTAAAGGTTGGAATGTAGACAGACTGGTACAGTGAGCTTCACTTTTTGGTTTCTTTACCACAACATTACTGGAGTGCAGGCTCCAATTGCTATCAGTCTCTCCTGCCATCACTTGGGAACCAGGCAAGGCCAGTTTATTCATACAGCAACATTCACACCCCAGGCAATCCAAAGTGTGTTACGGAAATTAAAAATTAAGCATAAAAACATTACATTAAAGATGAAAATGTTTACAGTTCGTTAATCGGACGTTTTCCATCCTGATTTAAAGGAAGCAACGATTTCTGCTCCTCTCAGGTTTTCCGCAGCTGAGGAGAATAGAAACTTCACCCGGTGTGGCTCTGGTCCAGGAACCAAGAAAGAAAGAGTTCTACAGAGACCAAGTTCTCATATTCTTCTGGTAACTCAGAAATGTGTTCTGGATTAAAAACCAGTAGTGCTTTACTGGCCAATACAAAGCCTGTCCTTCTACACACTGAGAGCCAGAGCAGATATTTAAAAACTTTTGTAATCTGATCCATTTTCCTGGTGTTGGTCAGAACTCTAGCAGCAGCACTTTGTATGCCAGATTAATTCTATACACACCAGTAAAAGGCAGCACTGTTTCTTATTTTAAGTCAAGCAATGGATCAGAAATACTTTCATGCCCCTCTAGTCACTCAGGTGATCACATGAACATGTTGAGCTGGTCATCTCAGATCTTAACTCTACTGAACATTTTTTTTTCTAGTAATTTTATGACTTCCTTCTGGTAATATATTTTTTATCCAGCTAATATTATGACTTTATTCTCATCATCAAACATTTTGTTCTCTTAGTCTTACCTCTGCCGTTGTTTTCATCTCACTGTTACAAACATCTCCAGCTCCATCAGCTGCCTACTGTGTTTTCACCAGTGTATACTAGGCTCCTTCTTCTACTGGGTTTAACTGGCAGCCTGTTGGTTATTTTGAACTCTGCTGCCACGTAGTGATCTACAGCCTTGTTTAGTAGTCAAATATGAAAAGACAATAGTGGCTCGGTTGGTAGAGCTGTTGCCTTGCAGCAAGAAGGTTCTGGGTTTGATTCCCAGCCCCGGTCTTTCTGCATGGAATTTCCATGCTCTCCCTGTGCATGTGTGGGTTTTCTCTGGGTACTCTGGTTTCCTCCCACAGTCCAAAAACATCTCCAAATTGTCCCTAGGTGGTGTGTCCTGCCTGTCTCTGTGTTGCCCTGTGACAGACTGGCAACCTGTCCAGGGTGTACCCTGCCTCTTGCCCATAACATTAGCTGGAGATGGGCACCAGCAACCTTTCCAACCCCATTAGGGATAAGGGAGTAAAGAAAATGGATGGATGGAAAAGACAATAAACTCTCCCTTCATCTCAAGCCTCATCAAACAGAGTTTGCTAAAGTCCCATTCCTCCTGACTGAAGACCAGTCTGCTTCTCAGCTGATGTCTTAGATGTTGTTTCAATATTTTCACATGATGTTCTTTCCTCTATTTTATGATGATGAGTAAGTCTGCAAACTGTAAGTTTGCTTTTATTTTGCAGTAAGCCTTCCTCCTGCCTAAATAACCTTTCAGTCCATGTCTACCTTTCAGTCCATGTCGGTACATTTCACATTTGGATGATGACACTGTCGTCTTCACATCATCTTGATTTTTGTTCTGCACATTTTGGACCAAAAGACATTAATCTTTTGGTCTCCTTCGTGATTATATGGTTTTTGGACAACCCCATCATGTCCATCCTGCTTGAACAGAAGAATACAACAACTTGAAGCATCTGCAAACTGTTACCAGGATCAACCAGACTAGAGCCGCTCCATGATTCTCATCCTGATATCTTGGCTTAATTTCTTTTGAAACACACACCTGAAACACACCAGAAAGCAGTGTGTTTCAGGTGTGGCCTTAAAAATGTTCTTGCTAAGTTTTCTGGCATTAAGCAAAGAAGAATAATTTGGTAATTCTAACTGACCTAAAAAAAAAGAAGCTTGATCTGATTTAACTTCAGATGGCGAGAGAACAACGTGTCCGTGTCTTTGTATTTTGTGTATGTAAATATTTGGTTTCAACTCTACATACAAACCAGTGTGCACATTTAGAATGAGTTTAGTCACAACTTAGTAACAAGCTCTATCAGAAATTACATTGTGATTTAAAACAAATATTATTGTGTTATTTTCAGAACAGTTTACACGAGAGATGTTGAAGGAGGGAGAAGTGTAATAGGTAGCTCATAAACTTAACAGCGCGTTCCAATAGGCAGCAGTTGCCCTGGTACCCTTTGAAATTTTCCAGTTGGGAATTTTCCACTGAAGCAAGGAAGGCGTGCAGGACGGCTGCACTGCTCACAGCTCAACCCAGTGTGAGAGCTCCTGTCTGTCACTTTAAGATCATGATGCCATTTCATGTAATGAGCCTTTGCACCAGGATACTCACAACCAAAGAAAAATCAGACAAAAGATGGAGAATGCATGAGTCTATTCATGCACAGAGAAGAGAAGAACCACACCTTCATCTGTCTGCCAGAGACAGAGGAGAGCTGCATACTAACAGATTAATGCTAGTTTTTACTTGGACTCCACATGTAGAGGAGATGCAGCCTAACCGGTGTCATTAACACCAGCTGGGCTCTGTCAGAAGGATCAAAGCTACATGAGACGGCCTACATGTAAGGAGTCATGTGCAGATGTCAGAGAAATATTTGTACCTTTACTAATGTCTATAATGTACCCGTTATCAAATGTTTTACTCTCTTTGTTTTTCTTTCCTATAAAAAGTACTCCTGGTCCTGTTTTTTGTTGTTTTTCTGTTTCCTTTTGTTGTTCTGAACCAACAGTAACACAAGGCAGTTCATTATGAGCCTGGTTCTGATGGAGGTTTCTTTATCTAAACAAAGGTTGTTCCATTCCACTGTCGTCCCATGCTTACTCAGACTGAGGGATTATTGAAGTGAACAACGCGACGCCGTCAGCTGGACTTCCTTAGACATCTGGCTTATGTCGTGCATGTGGAAAAGTCTCCATCAAGACTTCTTTTAATGTCCAAATGATACTGAAAAGGGAAGTGTGGGAAGTTGTCTTATTAAAAATGTAGAAGAGACATCTATGTCACATTACAACGTGCAAAAGATGTTAGCATGAAGGTGTCTGTTGGTGTCTGAAAGGAATGGTCACTGAAGATAAACAGAAAAGACAGATTTTCTAGCCCCTTTTTCCTCTGGTATTCACACATTTAGCTCCCACCACAGATTATTTTCCAATTTTGGAATTCCAAAAGGCCAATATTACTTCCAGTCAACAAAATACATGTTGGTCAAGTTCAGATGACTTTAAAAATGTCCCATCTAATCTCTTTGTACAGAAACTTTAAATCTTTTCAAAAATAAATGTCTGAATTCATAAGACCCTTGAAGAATTTTATTTCAGGTAAACAACATTAAACATTTACAGAAGGACATTACATCTTCCATAATAACATTACATAGAGGTTGTAACAAATAATGCAACAGCTATCCTAAAGTATACAATATTATTTCACCCCATAAAGTGATTGGCGACTCCAAACCACTTGTGAAAGGATGTTTTTGTTCGGTTTTTCAGTGCAGCGTAGAAAAGAAAAGCAAACTGCAAGAGAAGCTTCACATTAAAATCTTGCAAACACAGATTTATTGATGAGCACAGCCAGGATGCATGTCAGAGCCAACCTACAAGTTTATTATAGTCAAGCCACTTATGTCCACGTGATAAATGCCAAAAATAGAGGCCTTTCATATATATATATTTATAGAAATATGCGTTATCATACATGACTTTTCATTAGCGCTAAGGGGACTCTTCCAACCCTGTTTACCACCATAAACTAAGCTTCCACCTTTGACGTTTCCGGTGATATTTCATTTTGCAGTCACAGTGTTAAATATGCAATACCACCCCTTTCACTGGACCTTCTACAAAATGTATGAAGAACATTCCTGTTTGAACAGAGTTTCAACTCTGCCCACGTGGGACTTGAAAAGTTTTACAGCAAACTGCAGGCTGCAGAAGCTCCGGGAAACAGTTGGGGGGTGTTACGAAGCAACGCGCAGCACATGGAGAGCGTGCTCACACAGGGAGCAACATAGCAAAAATAATTATTCTTGGCTAATACTGCCTGCAATCCCTAAAGCCACTCGAGGCTGGGCAATCTTAGCGCAGCTCGATGGTATTAACCCTCTTCTGTCACGCTGCTTTAGTGGCATTACCCACCGCCTCTCCTCCCCTTTTTCCTGCTGCACAATCACAGCCTGCGGGTGACACTGAAAAGCTGAAAGATAACTTCAAGTAGAGCAGTTCTACCAGCTCCCCTCTGTCCATGTAAGGGTTCACATCCAGGGATGAGATTTACATTTGTGAGGAAGCCGGCCGGCATGCTCTGCATCCAGCCGAGCGAGAGGGCATGAATATTTATGCGTTTATTGTTTAGGGAAAGCCAGAGAGTAAAGTGACCATACAGGCAATTTTTATTTAAAGTGCATTTTTTAAAATGCTGCTGGGTAAGTTAAGCCCATCATCCTTTTTTTTTTCTTTTTATCTTTTTTAAACCTCAGAGGTTCGACTCTGTGGTTGGAAAAGCTGGATTGGAACGGAGTCACAATAAAATGTGTAAGTGCCTCATAAAGCCATCATTTCCCTGTTATTGGTTGGATATTCTGACCTATACGGTGTACTTGGATGTCATTTACAGGAGAAACAGCAGTCGCTGTAATCAACCTTACAAGCAACAGCCTCAGTCCCACCATTTATTCCCAACAGCTCCAGTTCAGCGCTTCAAATGTCAAACTAAAAGAAAGAAAACAGGTAAAGTTATTAAGTGGAAAATGGCTTGTTTGGGCTTTTATTTCTGGTGTGAAAAGGTGAAAAGGTTGTGGTTTCCCCATTTATTCTCTGTTTAGCAGCCTGTTACTGGATCGATATTGAGTGGGTCTGAAAATTCCTCAATATGCAACATTTTTTCACATCTGTGATACATTTGACTTAACTTCTATTTTTAAAAATCCTCTAGTTGAAGTCAGAAACAAACAAACAAACATGTTGTTACTTTAAATGTATCACTACAGGTTTGGACAAACTTTTCTAAATGATTATTTTTTGGTTGTTGCTATTATGAATTCATGGACTGTATTATTGCCATACAAGGGTACATAAGCTAGTAGGGATGGGCCATATAGGTATATTTATAAGGTATTTATTTTGAATGCTACGTACCAATTATCAAACAGACTATACTTCATTATACTGACATTACCACCAACTTACTGTTTCTACTAAGGTAGAGCCAGAACGGAGGGTATGTCAGTCATTTTAGTCTGAGATCTTGACCTGATCACAGCAGATAGACCAATAAATAAGGCTCTTATGCATCATTATAGATTCTTGGTTAGTTTATCCATCTCATGCTGCACCCTCCCATCACCCAGGAAGGAAGGAGACTGTAACATTTGGTTTAATACCAAAGCATGTCATTAGCTAGCTTTGGGATATCATACTTAAAAATACAACAGTGGTTTGGATGGAGAGAACTTTTTACTGCAACAGTTGCATTAAGTAACCTTTTAAAAAAAAAACAAATGTTTTAGTGTGTTGAAAGTGGCGTTGAAAGTAAATTACACTGTAGCTGGAGCTGCAGACTTTGCAGAGCAGTTTCTACTGTTAGGTAATACAGCTGTATTACCTGGAATTGTGTGTATGTGTGTGTACTTGTTTAGCTATCATATTTAGGACCATTTCTGGCATATTTACTAACCTTTTGAATATTAATGGGCCTCATGGGGACCAAAGCCCAGTCCTAATATGGAGGACCCGTTGTTTAGGGTTAGGGGTTAGAGGTGTGATGTGAATTAGGTTTTGGTTTGGGAAAATGTCTGGGTTAGGCTTATATGCAGTTACTTAAATGAATGGAAGTCAATACAAAGTCCTAATATGGGTTGAAATACAAACTTGAGCGAGTGCATGTTATTGTGTGTGTGTGTGAGTGTGTGTGTTTGTGTTAGAGAGGAATAGGAATAACATCTACAGTATCCATTTGTCCGTGGCTTTAGATTTGCAGCCTCATGATCTCGGCTGTTCAACAGTGCAGGGCCGTTATTATTGTCTCACTTGTTCTGAAACGGACTAATAAGAAGGAAGCCATTAGTTTGATAGTACTTCACAATTATCACCAAACAACTACTCTGTAATATTCAAATATCTTTACACAAAAAGAAAAAAGAAAGAAATCTTAGCAATAGAAAAACTCATTTTAAACATATTTGCAAATGATGTTACTTTATATAGCTGAGCTTTGTTCAGTAGAAAGTTCCAAAACATCCAGGAAAATATGCAAAGTTTGGGGGGGAAGACATCTCATCTCAACAGCCTCAGGAGAGAGTATGTTGGTGGTCTAGGGACGAGTCAAAGTTATGCACAACCTTCGCAGCACAGGCTCCACATAGACCCATCCTTCACACATTTACTTTGTCAAAGAAAACTCTGGTGTAGTCACAAGTCTTGACTCAGGAATAAACTGATATAGGAATCAATATGGATCGATCAAATTTTTTGGCATGTCAGAAAACTTGGAAGATGGATTTTTCAGAACTGGATCAAAACATACAGTGAAGCTTTTCAGCCTATTGCCTTGCTGCTTTGTCTTTATGTACATTAGCTCGTATTCTCAGATGGAAGCACTGACACTTATATTGCCCATGTTTGTTAAGCTCAAACCTATGTTTCCACCAGAGCCGTTGTGGTCCATTGGAGTATTGCATCTAACAGCACTTTACGCTGTCCCTTCATCATCAATAGGTTCAACACAGATTGATCAGGAGAAGCTTTCAGGTTGCAACATCAAGATCTGGTTCCATCATGGAGGTCCACTGACGCTGCCCAACCCAATGATAGCGTCCCATTTAGAAATATTAGACTGCAGGAGCCTCATGTTCAAAGGGTGCAGATGATTGTCTATAAATTAAATAGAGAAGCATCAATATTTGACCATGACAGTGGAAACATCATGGCTGCTGTGGGAGTTTCTATAGATGATAGGCTGTTGGTGAGAAAGCGTGCTGTAGGAAGTACCTTGAACTCCACTGTTATTATTATTATTATTATTATTATTATTGTTATTATTATTTATTATTATTATTATTTATTATTATTATTATTATTTTTAAAGGCTATGGTAAACAGCACAGTGTGAATATAATATTGGGACATTTCAGTTTCTTACTTTAATATTATGCTCATTAAGCCTCTGCGCACCAAACATTTTGTATTTGTTGCATCATCAGCGATTTGACTGAGTGATTACTTTATTTGTTTAAAGGTTAAATGAAACATCAGAACATCCTACAAACTCACAAAAACTGTACATAGATACAGATACATCTGTATCTATGTACAGATATATCTGTATCTATGTACAGATGTAAAAACTACTATAAACTGTTTAAAAAACACCATCAGGTCACATTAGATTAAACTAAATCATCTTTTACTTCCATAGGCTGCCTTCTTGATATTGTCAAAAAGCAATAACTTTTAAATTGTTAGGATTAAAAGCTGAAAACATGAAAATTTAAATGCATGTCAAAAGGGCAACTTGTTTTTCGTCTAAGAGTAGTTCAATCCAGTTTTACTTAAATCTTGTAGAAGGATTTTGGAGTTGCTTGTAGTTCTGAATTCCAGGAGAGGACAAGCCAAACATCCAACAACCTGCCTGCTATCTGCTCAGAGAGTGAGCCGCTGATTGTCTTTTCCAGTCAACAGAGACGAGGCTGAGGGAACCACAGCCGAAATCACAGCTGGTTCCAAGAAACTTAACATTTAACCCAAAATGGAGGTACCCTGTTCTTTCTCATGATAAGGCTGTTTTCTGGCTCCCCATCATCAGGCTGCCCCCGTTGGAGCCTTGACATGGATTCTTCTGAGCTTCCTTCAGACTGCCAATACATACTTAGAAATCTAAATTATGCCATGAGTTTAGCCTATCAGAGAGACAGAGTGAGGACAGAATGATGATTTTTAAAATACATCATGTTTAAGCTTTAGCAGAGACATTTATCCAAACTAATCCTTGTCTTGTTATTTCATGTCCCTACATCTCCGAGTGCCTCTTGTGTTTACGGCTATTGTGTCAGCTTCAACCTTTCCTTCCTTCATTTACAATAACAATGTGTGATACCGTTACTGTAACAGGTATTCAATTTTAACAGGTTTTGCAAATCAACCTTTTAATCATTACTATCAATACTTGTCCAATCTGTGCTTTTTTGTGCATCTATCTTATTAAGGAGAATCTCCAAATACCCGTTTTTCAATAAAGAAATAGTTTCTGATAATTCCACCTGCAGGGTAAATGGTTAGCAACAGTGGACTCCCAGCTATTTGCACTTGTGTATTCACTAAATTCTGGATTTTTCTTTGGAAGTATTCACATATTTTTCCATAGAGACTATCTAATAATAATAATAATAATAATAACAATAATAAAAAAAAAAAACAGATTAGGAAGTTAAAATAACTTGGTTCAATGCTACCTGACACACTATTGGCTAGCATTTGTGAACCAGCCAATCCAGGAGTGCCATTTATTTTCCCAATTATGCCAAAGAGTAAAGATAAGTAAGATTATTGTTGACAGCTTCTGCGTTAGAACTAAGATGGTTTCCACTGTGTATAAATGCACGTTAAGATATATTTGGTGTTTGAATGATAAAAATAGGCAGATATAAGGCTTTTCAGAAAGACTCTCAATTATTTACAGATTTCATCTATTTGTGAGCAGGTGTGGTCCCTAACCCCTGTAAATACTGGGGTCCTCTGGTTTTGGTTCAGCAGGAAATCCGTGCAACTCTTTGTACATGAGACCACATGTTTTTTATGTTCTTTTATTTGGAAGAGTTGGGCAGCTTTATCAGCTTCCTTAAAGAAACTAGCCAGGTCTTTTTCAATTTTATATTGACATGCATAATGTAGAGCAAAAAAAAAAAACATAAAATAAAATAAAATAAAACAGCAAAGCTAAATGTTTTAGGATAATTCCCTTTTTTTATAGCTGCTACTGTCTCCTTAACTCCCGGCAACCTTTGAAAAAGAGTTTTTCTTTCAGAAATATTAACCACAAAGACAAAAGTGATTCATAACATCACCAGGAAACGGGTACATTTTACAGCGACTGGTCTCGATCTGAAATATGAAGAATGAAGGACCTCCAACATGGCTGCCAAGGAATGAGTTGCGTCACTTTAAAGCTCTCATCATCATCGTCATCATGTTTATTGTTTTTTTTCCCTCTAAAAGTCCACAAATCAGAGCTGAACTGGACAGAAATGAATCAGAATCCTAAGGACTTCCTGTGGTCTTCAGCGTGATTGGACTGAGCCTCCTGAATGTGTGTGTCTACAGGGAGAGCTTCCCTGGTGAGAGCCGTTCAGTGGTAACAAGCAATAATAATAAAACTGTCCTTTATATAGTTTCTAGATGATTACATCATACATACAAATATACATTCTTAAATAGGAGGCTAGTTACAAACACAAAACACAATATGTAGCGATAGTAAAGTTCTTTTGCTTCTACTGTGACAATTATATATGAGTTATTGGAACCTTATAAAAAGTAAACAAAACTTGCAAATAATAGTTTGAAATCTTAGGTACCATTCAAAATGCACACCTTTTCACTCACCTTCTGATGCATGCATACATCACACATACACACACGCACATACGCACACTCGCATACATTTTGTGAAGGTAATAAATAGAGAGCTGGGGGTCTTCTCGATGTCACCATCTTCATCTTCACCTTTTCTTTTTTTCACAGCAGCCACCTAGAAACAGACAAAGATATGATACAGTGTGTGAGTAACACACTCCAAACCACTGACAGTGTGGAGAAAACACACACCACACATGCTATAATTTGTTCTCATGCTACTAGGGGTTTCACATGAGCTAACTGTGAACTTCTGTATCTGATGCAGAAGTTCAATTGGCCAGCTGACAGATAATCTGTGTAAAGTTTGATCTCCTCCACCTCCTCCCTCTGCTGTTGCAGTCTGAAGAAATGCTCCACTCCTGACCAAAAACAACCAATCAGAGACAGGAGGAGAGTCTTAGTGTTGTCAATCAATGCTGCTCAATATCCTAATGACAGAGAGACAACTTATTGTTCAAGGAAAACCATTGATCCGCTGACATAGGTACCCATCCTAACTAGCCTTAGCATTGGTGGCAGGCTATGTTGTGGTGAATCAGCAGAGAGCAAGAAGAGGGGATAAGCATGAGAGTGATTGGCGGTGATAAGACCCTCCTCCTGGCTCTGATAGGTTGTTTTGGACTCTGTGGGGTATTTCTGCAGTTAGTACTGGGAGAAAGCAAAGAACCTCAGTTTCTTTCCCAGACTATGTGTCTGGGGAAAAAGAAATGCCTCTGTCTGGGAACAACAATTAAATCATGGAAATGGTCAAACAAATGTTTTGTATGGTGTCGGGACATAACAGCCTCCTGATCATCAACAGCTAATGCTATTTATAAACTTGATAACATTTGACTGATTTAGCCATTAGTGAAAAAATGCTCTTGTTTAACTTTACTAACACAGTTTACATATCGCCCTGCATAACTGGACACTGCCAAAAGATATATTCATCAGTTGCAAAAACATGTTAATTTCTAAAATAATTCATTTGCTGTTTGTTTTTACTGGAAGAAAAGAAAATAACACAGCAGCAAACCCAGAGCAGAGTTGTGATGTGGCAAAAAGGAGCAGGAAGTGGTCCAAGAGAGATCAGAGGATGAAGAGGAGAAGCAGGGAGTGTAAGCAGGAGAAGGAGTTAAGGATGTCAAGCTGGTGAGAGTGAGGGATTGGGGGGTGGAGAGGATGAAGAGGATGAGCCAGAGAGGAACAAGAGAAGGAGTGATCAGAGGAAAAGGAGGATGAGTAAGAGGTTGACGTAAAGGAGGGATCTGCAGATTAATAAATAATACCTTGCCTCTATCTGGTCTGTTTCCTTATCCCCTCCCTTCTCCCCGTCACCCCCTCAAACTGTCTGACGATTGGATTCTGCCAATCTTTGGTAGTCAGCTCTCAGCGAAGCAGTCCATTCCACATCAGGAAGCCCAAACATCTGGATGAGTGCTCCTGTAGTTTACCCACTCCAAACATGAGCGTGTTTTATATTGGTGCATGTGACCATGAGAGAATGTGCTGCTGGTGTCCAGAGAACGTAGAGAGCAAACAAGAGGCAGAAGATTTTTCATTTGGAACAGGAAGAATCTGAGAATCCTCGAGTCTGTTAACGAGAATCTAGTTCAGTCCAACAGCTGACCAGTTTAGAAACTAGAACAAAACCATTCATTTCAATGTATTTAAATTTGTAATTCAGTAAATATTTAAAAGACAAATGTATTCCATCAGAAGATGTTCCTTCTGAAGGAAGTGAATCGACCTCTGACCTGATTTGGTTGGGAAGGCTTAAATACGTGGTCCAACTCTGGCACTAAAACAAAGCAGTTAAATGTGGTTCATCAAAAAACATGTCCCTGTTTAAACAAAAGCAAATGTAGGGAGCGCACTACAACACAAAGCATTGTGGGTAAACAGAACTAAAACAAACCCAGATGTAATAGGATAGATGGGGGAAAAATGCCCCAAGTCAACGTAAGAAAGTGGCATAAGTTCTGACATAAATATGGACAGATGAGAACATGGCACAGCCTCTGCTGTGAACTCATAGGAACAATGAAGTTTTCCAAATTATTAGCAGAAAAATGGAGGCTGTGGGGTTGACCTGTACAGGAAAGCAGGGAAAAGACTCTGCTTAAGATCAGCGTTCAAGAGAAGTAAAGAACAAGTTTGCTAGGCATGAAGAACTTAAACTTCCCCAAGAAATGGAAGAAATACATGAGTTTGTTTGAAGAACTGCATTCTGAATGCAAACTCAGACTGTGGAAAAACCCAATCTGAGTATTCAAAACATGATGGGTTTACCCACACTCTAAACAAACAAACATACACGCGAGTGCGCACGCACACACACACACACACACACACACACACGCACGCACGCACGCACACCCCTATCCATCCATCCATCCATCCATCCATCCATCCATCCATCAATCCATCCATCCATCCATCCATCCATCCATCTATCTAAAGGAAACATCGGTACTCTCACCAAACCCCCCACAGCTCCACTCCAACAGCAGCAGCAGATTAATAAATGTTTCCTGTATTATCAGGTCCAAAACTTAACAGGTATGGACTAAAGGTTAACAGGCTGCTGTCAAACCAAGGCCTGTACAAGGGTGAGGAGATACAGAAAGTGTGTGTGAGTAAATCAATGTCATCAGCTCCCTCTCCACACTGTCACACATCCTGTAAAGCAACAAGGAGTTCCTTGTTTCAGAAGGATCTGTCGGACGAAACATAGATGAAGGCTTCCGCTTTCTCGAGTCAAAAAGCATTTATGGGGAGAACGCATGGTGGAGTGGGGGGGTTTATGCAGCATGGAGGCTCGAGTTTGGAAGCAGATGGAGTTGGTGGGTGGGTTTTGGGGTTTTACTGATGGCTGGCCTATAATAGAGATGGAGATCCTCTCATCCGGAGAAAGAAAATCTTTAAAAATCTAAGTGTCAAAGCACAACGATACAACAAATCACACTAAAATGAAGCAATAATCTCCGTTTTAGAAATGTCTTGCCCAGATGACTGACTCTCAGACAATACAGCTCGGTAAATGTTTGTCTCAGGGTTTAGTTATGGGATGTCTCATTCTCATGAGACATCCAGCATTTAATTATCGCTCTACCCAATTATAACCCAATCTTTCTTCAGAGCCATCAGTCACTGCAATCAGGTTCTTTTACTTCAGAACCACATAAAAGTTAACTTGTTTTCCTTGTGAGAATCATTTATATTATGTTGAACTGAAAGAAAGACGGAGCAGAGCAGAGGTCATAAACACTTTACATTCTTTGGTTGACACAAGTTTAAATTTAGGTAGTTCACTTACTCAAACCACTCAGTGTCTCGTGGATAAGAGTTTAAACATGGATGGAAAAAAAATCATCACCCAGAATTTAGGTGATGATTCAGTCTGCCAAAATTCAGATTGTTTCAATGGCTCATAAAAGCACCATTAGGAGAAAAAAGTTTGAAGTAATCTCCTCCCAACATGGTGGATGTTATAGCTATAGTTTTCGTCATCTGTTTGAAGTTTGCAGATACTTTACACTAGTTTAAACTGTTCAACAAACAGGATCTTAAAAATCTTAAGGTCCAAACTCATTCAGCACCTTGATCCTTTTTTTTTTAGACATTTTGTTGGAAACTACAGCCTTGCTGCTTGCATGGCTCATTTACAGATAATCTCATGATCAACTTTGTCTTACCAGGTGCACAGGCTCTGTGGTTGTAAAGCAGCCCAAATGCTTCAAGTTGGGATATATATTTGTTGTGAAATACTTTTTTACTTTTCAACTTTTCATTACAAATACTTATAGCATTTGTAGTGATACTATAGTGGGTATATGTCTCCACTTCAGCTTCTGCTGGATAATACTTTCGCTTATTAACTCTTCAAACTCAGATACATCATTCTAGACTTACCACACATTTAACAACCTGATGTGTTTTTCTGGCGTGGTGTAACATATGTCCTAATGCTTCATAAAGGTGTGCTTACAGTAGTATTTACAGACTGGTTGTGCATTGTGGTTCTTTTTTAACAGCTAATGTAGCAAATGTGGCTCTGATTGTTGTGCAATCTGAAAGCTGTGGCTTCAGTTCCAGCTGCTTCCTGACAAATGTTGATGTGCCTCTAGGCAAGGCATCGTACACCATGCTGCCAGACGTTAAGTGATCTGTGTATCAGTGTATGATTGTGGCTCTAGTGTTTGTGGTCAGTAAGAACAGCAAATGTTCTATTTAAATTCAGACCATTTAAAGTTCCATTCCTTACCTTCACCTTCACCCCAAACCTTTGACCCCTGATCCTGCATTCTATCCACATCATGTCTGATCTTGTCTAAAGACTCTGGGTGAGGTCTAGGCTGTCCCTACCTCACCCAGAATGCCAAGAACTGTGAAAGTGTGCTGATGATGTCTTATGATAAGACATCATCAGCCGTATCACTACACTCATAGTGTAGTGCTATGAGTGAAGCACTACACTGCCAGGTCTCAGGCCTGAGTAAACATATCTTATTTAGAGTACCTGCCAACATTCCTTTTTGTTCAGCTTCGTCCTTGGACATCTGGCCTTGGACTTGACTTCAAAGCTATGTTTAAGAGCAGTGCACTCTGCCACATCTCCAACAAACTCTGCACTGTCTCTGTGGTGTGTGTGGATGATGAAGGAGAGTTGGCACAAAGACAAAGGAAACGCTCCAGTTAACTGAACTCCTTACATTTGTATCAGCTCGGTTATCAGCATTAAATAAAGCCAACAGGAGGATTTTTGCAGGAATAGAAACTGAGTGCTAAAGTCCATCCAAAGAGAAAGACACAAAGTACCACTAAGGTTTGATAATCAGTAACTGGGTTTAGAGTTTGAAACATTAAACAATGCCCTATTAACACCCTAACACTGAGCTTGTTAACTGGCTGATCGGATGCTTCCATTGGGTTGTTGGTTGGCTGACTGTAAAATGATAAAAACTTCTTGAGTCAGTGGTTGGGTGTTTGGCTGCTTAACGGGTTGAATGTGTTAAACTTGATGACTTGTTGGCTGGTTAGTTTATTTGATTTACTGACTGATTTGTTGGGTGGTTGATCCATAGCAGGTTGGTTGTTAAGATAGTTGGTTGACTTGTCGGCTGGTTG